TTGAGACCCTTTGAAACATTGGGACCCATGAAACATTTAGACCCATGAAACATTCAAGACCCAGGAAACATTCAAGACCCATGAAACATTCAAGACCCATGAAACATTCAAGACCCATGAAACATTTGAGACCCTTGAAACATTCAAGACCCATGAAACATTCAAGACCCATGAAACATTCAAGACCCATGAAACATTCGAGACCCATGAAACATTCAAGACCCATGAAACATTTGATACCCATGAAACATTCAAGACCCATGAAACATTTGAGACCCATGAAACATTTGAGACCCATGAAACATTTGAGACCCATGAAACATTTGAGACCCATGAAACATTTGAGACCCATGAAACATTTGAGACCCATGAAACATTTGAGACCCATGAAACATTCAAGACCCATGAAACATTCAAGACCCATGAAACATTCAAGACCCAGGAAACATTCAAGACCCATGAAACATTCAAGACCCATGAAACATTCAAGACCCATGAAACATTTGAGACCCATGTAGCATTCAAGACCCATGTAACATTCAAGACCCATGAAGCATTCAAGACCCATGTAACATTCAAGACCCATGTAGCATTCAAGACCCATGTAACATTCAAGACCCATGAAGCATTCAAGACCCATGTAACATTCAAGACCCATGTAACATTCAAGACCCATGCAGCATTCAAGACCCATTTAGCATTCAATACCCATGTAGCATTCAAGACCCATGTAACATTCAAGACCCATGAAACATTTGAGACCCATGAAGCATTCAAGACCCATGTAGCATTCAAGACCCATGTAGCATTCAAGACCCATGTAGCATTCAAGACCCATGTAGCATTCAAGACCCATGAAACATTTGAGACCCATGAAGCATTCAAGACCCATGTAGCATTCAAGACCCATGTAGCATTCAAGACCCATGAAACATTTGAGACCCATGAAGCATTCAAGACCCATGTAGCATTCAAGACCCATGTAGCATTCAAGACCCATGTTGCATTCAAGACCCATGTAGCATTCAAGACCCATGTAGCATTCAAGACCCATGTAGCATTCAAGACCCATGAAACATTTGAGACCCATGTAGCATTCAAGACCCATGAAACATTCAAGACCCATGAAACATTTGAGACCCATGAAACATTCAAGACCCATGAAACATTCAAGACCCATGAAACATTCAAGACCCATGAAACATTCAAGACCCATGAAACATTCAAGACCCATGAAACATTCAAGACCCATGAAACATTCAAGACCCATGAAACATTCAAGACCCATGAAACATTCAAGACCCATGAAACATTCAAGACCCATGAAACATTTGAGACCCATGAAACATTCAAGACCCATGAAACATTCAAGACCCATGAAACATTCAAGACCCATGAAACATTCAAGACCCATGAAACATTTGAGACCCATGAAAACATTTTGAGACCCATGAAACATTTGAGACCCATGAAACATTTGAGACCCATGAAACATTTGAGACCCATGAAACATTTGAGACCCATGAAACATTCAAGACCCATGAAACATTCAAGACCCATGAAACATTCAAGACCCATGAAACATTCAAGACCCATGAAACATTTGAGACCCATGAAACATTCAAGACCCATGAAACATTCAAGACCCATGAAACATTCAAGACCCATGAAACATTCAAGACCCATGAAACATTCAAGACCCATGAAACATTCAAGACCCATGAAACATTCAAGACCCATGAAACATTTGAGACCCATGAAACATTTGAGACCCATGAAACATTTGAGACCCATGAAACATTCAAGACCCATGAAACATTCAAGACCCATGAAACATTCAAGACCCATGAAACATTCAAGACCCATGAAACATTCAAGACCCATGAAACATTTGAGACCCATGAAACATTTGAGACCCATGAAACATTCAAGACCCATGAAACATTTGAGACCCATGAAACATTTGAGACCCATGAAACATTTGAGACCCATGAAACATTTGAGACCCATGAAACATTCAAGACCCATGAAACATTCAAGACCCATGAAACATTTGAGACCCATGAAACATTTGAGACCCATGAAACATTTGAGACCCATGAAACATTCAAGACCCATGAAACATTCAAGACCCATGAAACATTCAAGACCCATGAAACATTCAAGACCCATGAAACATTTGAGACCCATGAAACATTTGAGACCCATGAAACATTCAAGACCCATGAAACATTTGAGACCCATGAAACATTCAAGACCCATGAAACATTCAAGACCCATGAAACATTCAAGACCCATGAAACATTCAAGACCCATGAAACATTCAAGACCCATGAAACATTCAAGACCCATGAAACATTTGAGACCCATGAAACATTCAAGGCCCATGAAACATTTGAGACCCATGAAACATTCAAGACCCATGAAACATTCAAGACCCATGAAACATTCAAGACCCATGAAACATTTAAGACCCATGAAACATTCAAGACCCATGAAACATTTGAGACCCATGAAACATTCAAGACCCATGAAACATTCAAGACCCATGAAACATTCAAGACCCATGAAACATTCAAGACCCAGGAAACATTCAAGACCCATGAAACATTCAAGACCCCATGAAACATTCAAGACCCAGGAAACATTCAAGACCCATGAAACATTCAAGACCCATGAAACATTCAAGACCCATGAAACATTCAAGACCCAGGAAACATTCAAGACCCATGAAACATTCAAGACCCATGAAACATTCAAGACCCATGAAACATTTGAGACCCATGAAACATTCAAGACCCATGAAACATTTGAGACCCATGAAACATTCAAGACCCATGAAACATTTGAGACCCATGAAACATTCAAGACCCATGAAACATTCAAGACCCATGAAACATTCAAGACCCATGAAACATTCAAGACCCATGAAACATTCAAGACCCATGAAACATTCGAGACCCATGAAACATTTGAGACCCTTGAAACATTCAAGACCCATGAAACATTCAAGACCCATGAAACATTCAAGACCCATGAAACATTCGAGACCCATGAAACATTCAAGACCCATGAAACATTTGAGACCCATGAAACATTCAAGACCCATGAAACATTTGAGACCCATGAAACATTTGAGACCCATGAAACATTTGAGACCCATGAAACATTTGAGACCCATGAAACATTTGAGACCCATGAAACATTTGAGACCCATGAAACATTTGAGACCCATGAAACATTTGAGACCCATGAAACATTTGAGACCCATGAAACATTTGAGACCCATGAAACATTTGAGACCCATATCGCTACCACCTGATCTCTCAACAAGTCAATATTCTGCCTAAGATAACTGTGGTTGGTCTTCCACATTTTTGTTCAAATGATGAAAATGTTTCTTAGCAAGAATCCAAAAATCAAGGAACTATCTGAAAGAGGTTGTCTCATTATCATTTGTTTTACAAATGTTTAAGGATGACAGTAGGGCGACTGTGGTAAGGATCCTGACAGCTTGCATCTCCAGTCACTAACACTGACATGCAACATGGCAGTCATCCTGGTAGACAGGTGTTCTAACTCTGTTGGATGTGCATGTGACATGACAAAGCCCGTGTGACTGACCACACAATGCAGCTGGCATTCCTCAACATGGTGAAGGTGCTCAAATGAGTGCCACCACTCTATAGATCACTGCCTGGTGAAGACAGGCACTGCACCACTAAGCAGGGCACTGATGTTAAAACAATGGTCCCTCGACCATCATTGACAGTCGAATGGTTACAAGCAAGGTTGTCCTGATCACACACTGGGTGAAACATCATCACCAATAGTTTTTATCCTGGTGATCAACAAAGCAATCATTGAGGCTAAGTAACTGAGGATAGATGTTAAAGATAGATTTATTTCTTTGTAAAGGTTAGAATGTGTAATAACAATTTTGGTTTGCCAAGTGCAAAGAAAGCCACTATCATGCCGGGGCATTTTGGGCAAATGTGCATTCTGAGAGAACATCTTAGCGATGTTTGCTGATGATCTCGAGTTACTTGCTAAAATTCCAGTGGATGTACAGAAGACAATTGTTGTGTGGGGCAGCCTCGTTGGTAGAGACTTAGCAATCAACAACCGTACCCTCAATTTACAGTTATATTGCAATAAGTGAATTATATCAGGGTGTGTAATATGGAGGGTCTACTGTACCAGAGTATATTGTGAACTAACTATAGGGCGACTTTGAAATTACTAGCTCATGTACTCTTCAGCTAGGGGTTCCGATTTGGCTTTGCAATACAGCAAATCTTGGTTCATGACTAAGTCAGTGAAAGAAGGTGGTGGTTTCAATGAATGTGTTCAATCTTCCTTCAGCTGTCAGTAGTGTTGTACACCAGCAGCTGCACTGGTGATGGAGACACACTGGTGTCTATGGATAAAATAAGATTTTAGGTAAGCAAGAGTATGTCTACTAACCTCATAATCTTCTAGTTGAAGGTGTGGGATATTGTGGTCGACTGTACTGAAAGCTTTCCGCAGGCCTATGAAGAGTCCCAGAGGATATTTATTTTTTTATAAATAGTGCATAAAGCAGTTCAAACATTTGCATAATTGCATCATTCATACTTTTTCAGGGGTTAAGTATGTTGTGAGATATTAGGTAGGAGTAATCACTCACGAAAATTTTTATGAAGTTTTTAGAGAGCAAAGGCAAGTCTGATATAGGTCTATAGTTATTCACTTCATTTGGATCACCTCTGAGGATGAGGGTAACTCACTTGCTACACTGCCAGTCATCAGCACTATCTTACTTGCTACACTGCCAGTCATCAGCACTGACTGACTTGCTACACTGCCAGTCGTCAGCACTGACTGACTTGCTACACTGCCAGTCATCAGCACTGACTGACTTGCTACACTGCCAGTCGTCAGCACTGACTGACTTGCTACACTGCCAGTCGTCAGCACTGACTGACTTGCTACACTGCCAGTCGTCAGCACTAACTTACTTGCTACACTGCCAGTCATCGGCACTAAACAGACCATGTGACTTCTCTGCTGCAGCTTTGCCAATTTCTACTCCAAGTTGACGTTTCTTTTCTGCTGCTGCTGCCGCCGCCGCCGCCGCCGCTCCTGACCCACTACGATCTGCAGGGAAATACGTTCATACAATAACTGTATTTAAAAACATTAATATACAGCCCATTTCCCACCATGAGAAAATGACCCATAAAAGACACACATTCACCATCTTTCATTCAATAGCTCTTGGGAACCAATATATATATCTTAATTGACAATTAAAGGACTTCTTACAGAATCTGGTTGCAGCAGGATTAGAGCCCAACCTGCAGAAGTGTACAACAAGTTTAACCCTTTCACTGTCAAGACCCCTGATGCTGAACTCGCCCTGTGTCAAAAAATACTAAAATATATATATATATATATATATATATATATACAGTGGACCCCCGCATAGCGACCTTAATCCGTGCAAGAGGGCTGGCTGTTATGCGAAATGTTCGGTATGTGAATGAATTTTCCCCATAAGAAATAACGGAAATAAAATTAATCCGTGCAAGACACCCAAAAGTATGAAAAAAAAATTTTTTTACCACATGAAATGTTAATTTTAATACACACAAACTGAAAAAGGCATGCACAATTACATGACACTTACTTTTATTGAAGATCTGGTGAGTTGAGGGATGGGAGAGGGGAGAGAGAGTGTTAGTGTTTAGAAGGGGAATCCCCTCCATTAAGACTTGAGGTGTCGAGTCCTTTCTGGGGTTACTTCCCTTTCTTCTTTTAATGCCACTAGGACCAGCTTCAGAGTCACTGGACTTCTTTCGCACAACATATCTGTCCATAGTGGCCTGTACCTCTCGTTCCTTTATGACTTGTCTAAGTGGTTCACAACATTGTCATTGTAACAGTCACCAGCACGCTTGCAATAGCTGTGTGAGGGTGATTTCATCAAAAAAGGTTTGCACTTCAAGCCATTTTGCACACATTTCCTTAATCTTTGAAGTAGGCAATTCCTTCAATTTCTCTCTCCCTCCTTTGAAACAGTTTCCCAGGTCTGGCCTCTTGCTCTTGAAGTTGACTATCAGCTCATCATGGTTAGTTCTTCATTGTCCTCCTCCACCAACTCTTCCACATCCTCCCCCTAACCTCCAACCCCAAGGACTTACCCAATGCCACAATTGATTCCTCAATTGGTATACTCCTCTCAGGGTTAGCCTCAAACCCTTCAAAATCCCTTTTGTCTACACATTCTGGCCACAGTTTCTTCCAAGCAGAGTTCAAGGTCTTCTTAGTCACTCCCTCCCAAGCCATTACCTATAAGGTTTATACAATTGAGGATATTAAAGTGATCTCTCCAAAACTCTCTTAGAGTCAGTTGAGTTTCTGAGGTCACTACAAAGCACCTTTCAAACAGAGCTTTGTGTACAGTTTTTTGAATTTGCAATAACCTGCTGGTCCATGGGCTGCGGAAGAGGAGTGTAGTTAGGAGGCAAAAACTTCACCTTAATGAAGCTCATGTCCCCATAAGTCGCTCTGCCACGTCTGTAGGATGACCAGGGGCATTGTCTAACACCAGGAGGCACTTAAGTTCTAATTTCTTTTCAGTTAGGTAATCTTTGACATTGGGGCAAATGCATGGTGTAACCATTATAGAAAAAGTCCTATGACCCATGCCTTACTGTTTGATCTCCACAGCACACACAAATTATCCTGAGGACATTTCTTTTGCCTGAACGCTCTGGGAGTTTCAGATGATACACTATAAAGGCTTAACTTTGCAATCAACCACTAGCATTGGCACACATCAACAAAGTAAGCCTGTCTTTCATAGGCTTATGTCCTGGGAGTGCCTTTTCCTCCTCAGTAATGTAGGTCCTGCTTGGCATTTTCTTCCAGAACAGGCCTGTTTCATCACAATTAAACACTTGTTCAGGTTTCAGTCCTTCAGTTTTATGTAACTCCTTGAATTCCTGCACATATTTTTCAGCCGCTTTGTGGTCCGAATTGGCAGCCTCACCATGCCGTATCACACTATGTATGCCACTACGCTTCTTAAATCTCTCAAACACCTTTGCTGGCCTTAAATTCACTCACATCATCACTAGTTGCAGGCCTTTTTTAATTAATTCCTCATGCAACTTCCTAGCCTTTTCGCTTTATGATCGCTTGAGAGACGCTATCTCCTGCTAGCTGTTTTTCATTTATCCAACCAATAAGAGTCTCTCAACATCTTCATCACTTGCGATCTTTGTTTCGAAAACACAGTTAAACCTTTGGCAGAACAGCTTCCTTGATTGCCTTTCTGTTGCCCACAATTAGTAAGATGGTTGATTTGGGTTTCTTGTACAACCTGACCAGGTCGGTGATACGCACTCCACTTTCATACTTATCAATGATCTCTTTCTTCATTTCTATTGGAATCCTAACCCTTATTGCGTAGGTTGGAACTAGAAGCTTTCTTGGGGCCATGGTCACTTATTTTCCAGAAACAGCCCGAAAACACTGTACTAATACGAAATTTCCGATTGTATGCTTGAATGTTACCGCGGAGGCTGGCTGGTAAACAATGCCACCAGCGGAACATATGAGGCTGGCTCAGGCCGCACATGATGACGCGTCTCGGACGAAGGGCGCTGAGCGGGTTTTTGGGCGGTATGCGGGGCAAATTTTAGCGATCAAAGCATCGGTATGCGGATTGTCCGTTATGCAAGGCGTCCGGTATGCGGGGTCCACTGTATTATATATATATATATATATATATACAGTGGACCCCCGGTTAACGATTTTAATCCGTGCAAGAGGGCTCATCGTTATGCGAAATAATCGTTATGCGAATGAATTTTCCCCATAAGAAATAATGGAAATAAATTAATCCGTGCAAGACGCCCAAAAGTATGAAAAAAATTTTTTTTTACCACATGAAATGTTAATTTAATACACACAAACTGAAAAGGCATGCACAATTACATGACACTTACTTTTATTGAAGATCTGGTGATGATTGATGGGATGGGAGAGGGGAGAGCATTATCTTCTTACTGTTTAGAAGGGGAATCCCCTTCCATTAGGACTTGAGGTAGCAAGTCCTTTTCTGGGGTTACTTCCCTTCTTCTTTTAATGCCACTAGGACCAGCTTGAGAGTCACTGGACCTCTGTCGCACAACAAATCTGTCCATAGAGCTCTGTACCTCCGTTCCTTCAAGACTTTCCTAAAATGGGCCATAACATTGTCATTGAAATAGTCACAAGCACGCTTGCAACAGCTGTGTCAGGGTGATTTTCATCTATAAAGGTTTGCAGTTCACCCACTCTGCACACATTTCCTTAATCTTTGAAGTAGGCACAATGGATTCCACAACTGGCATAGGCTTCTCAGGGTTAGCCCCAAACCCTTCAAAATCTTTCTTAATTTCCATACTAATTCTCACCCTTTTTACCACAGGGTTGGCACTAGAAGCTTTCTTGGGGCCCATGGTCACTTATTTTCCAGAAACAGCACCGAAATACTGTAATAATACGAAATATTCCGAGTGTATGCTTGGATGTTACCGCGGAGGCTGGCTGGTAAACAATGGGACGGACGGCACATGTGAGGCTGGCTGAGGGCACATTGGACGCGTCTCGGACGAAAATCGTATGCGGGTTTTTAATCGGTATGCGCGGCAAAAATTTTGCGATAAAAGTAATCGTATTATGCGGAAAAATCGCTATGCGATGCCATCGTTATGCGGGGGTCCACTGTATATATATATATATATATACAGTGGACCCCCGCATAACGATGGCATCACATAGCGATTTTTCCGCATACCGATTACTTTATCGCAAAAATTTTTGCCGCGCATACCGATTAAAAACCCGCTTACCGATTTCGTCCGAGACGCGTCCAATGTGCCCTCAGCCAGCCTCACATGTGCCGGCCGTCCCATTGTTTACCAGCCAGCCTCCGCGGTAACATCCAAGCATACACTCGGAATATTTCGTATTATTACAGTGTTTTTGGTGCTGTTTCTGGAAAATAAGTGACCATGGGCCCCAAGAAAGCTTCTAGTGCCAACCCTGTGGTAAAAAGGGTTAGAATTAGTATGGAAATTAAGAAAGATTTTGAAGGGTTTGGGGCTAACCCTGAGAAGCCTATGCCAGTTGTGGAATCCATTGTGCCTACTTCAAAGATTAAGGAAATGTGTGCACAGTGGGTTGAACTGCAAACCTTTATAGATGAAAATCACCCTGACACAGCTGTTGCAAGCCGTGCTGGTGACTATTTCAATGACAATATTGTGGCCCATTTTAGACAAATCGTAAAGGAACGGGAGGTACAGAGCTCTATGGACAGATTTGTTGTGCGACAGAGGTCCAGTGACTCTCAAGCTGGTCCTAGTGGCATTAAAAGAAGAAGGCAAGTAACCCCGGAAAAGGACTTGCTACCTCAAGTCGTAATGGAAGGGGATTCCCCTTCTAAACAGTAAGAAGATAATGCTCTCCCCTCCTCCCATCCCATCAATCATCACCAGATCTTCAATAAAAGTAAGTGTCATGTAATTGTGCATGCCTTTTTCAGTTTGTGTGTATTAAAATTAACATTTCATGTGGTAAAAAAAAAATTTTTTCATACTTTTGGGCGTCTTGCACGGATTAATTTTATTTCCATTATTTCTTATGGGAAAATTCATTCGCATAACGATTATTTCGCATAAACAATTATCCCTCTTGCACGGAATTAAAATCGTTAACCGGGGGTCCACTGTATAATATATATATATATTATATATTATATATATATATATATATATATATATATATATATATATAATATATATATATACTAACACACACACACACACACACACACACACACACACACACACACACACACACACACACACACACACACACACACACACACCTACTGTCCAACTTACGACCTGCTCGACATACGACCACTCGACTTACGACCGTGTTTTTTATGCCAAATTTCTGGGAAATAAACAACTATTTGTGTTGTACAGTGTTTATCCTAAATCTTACAGTATAAAATACAGTACTAACAGCATAAAAAGTAAAGTAAAACATGAAATACCAAAATAAAACAATAAAATAAGGTCATTACATTTCGACTT